TCCCAGGACTCTAGGATCATGACCTGAGCTGAAAGCAGACGCTGACTGAGACACCCAGGCGCCTGCAGGCTTGAATCTTGAAGAGATATTTGTAAACCCATGTTCATAACAGCATTATTCATCGCAGCCAAAAGGTATAAACAACCCAAGTGTCCCTCAACAGATGAATGGATAAACACAATGCAATATAGACAACACATTGTGGACTCGTTTCAGCCTTAAAACAGGAGGGAATTCTGACACAGGTTACAGTACGGATGAACCTGGAGGGCACCATGTGAAGTGAAATAAGCGGACACAAAAGGACACATGCTGTATGAGTCCACTTACATGAGGTATTTAGAGCAGGCAAATCCCCAGAGACAGGAAGTAGAATGGGGGCTGCCAGGGGCTGGGGGAGAGGGAGTGGGGAATTGGCGTTCATGGGGGACAGAGTTTCAGTTTGGAAGATGAACAAGTTCTGGAGATGGATGGTATGGATGGTTGCACAGCAATGCGAGTGTACTGGACACTGCCGAACGATATACTTAAAAAGTGCCGAGGGTGGTAGGTACATTTTATGCTATGGGTATTTAACCACAGTTAAAAACAAAACCAACGACAACATGAGGCCTGAGGAACCTCGAATACTACTTTTAAAGTACCTAAAGGAAAATGCGGTGGAAACTTTTATAAAATAAATCATTAAAGACAGCTATATCTTTTGTGTACATCTGGACTGTCATAGATGAGTTTGCTGGAAGCTGGTCCTCTGCTGGGGTGCCTGGCTGGCTCAGTCAGGAGAGCGAGAGACTTTTGATCTCAGGTTGTGAGTTCGAGCCCCACGTTGGGTGGAGAGATTACTGAAAAATAAAACCTTAAAAAAACAAAGCTGGTCTACTGGTATTCCAGCTTAGCTGTGGATCTTACTTATTTGTGGCACACCAAATATTCTTGTTTCTGAAACTAGTCAGTCATAAGAATACACTAACACCTACTTTGTGCCCACTACTGGGTAGGGGTAGCGGAAGATTCGAAAGAAGAAATAATTATTACCTTTATGTGTTACAATTTGTGATGGGTTGGACTGTGTTCCCCCCAAATTACTATGTTGAAGCCCAAACCCCCAGTACTTTAGGATGTGACTGTATTTGGGGATAGGGCCTCTAAAGAAGTAATTAAATTAAATATGTTCATTGGGGTGGACTCTAATCTCACTACTGTCCTTAGAAGAAGGGGAGATTAAGACACAGACACACACAGGGAAGGCCATGTGAGGACACACGGAGGTGGTGGCTGTCTGTGAGCCGAGGAGAGAGGCCTCAGGAGAAACAATCCTGCTGACACCTTGATCTGGGAGTTCCTGTCTCCAAAGCTATGAGAAAATACATTTCTGTGGTTGAAGTCCTCCAGTCTGCAGTACTTGTTACGGCATCCGGATCTACTCTTCCATTTTTAAAGTACTCTTTAAATCCTTAAAACAACCCTGCAACGGTGTCATTGTTCTTCCCTGTTCACAGACAAGGAAGTTGAGGCTCAGAGAATTTGAGTTATTTACCCAAGGTTGCACTGCTGGAAAGTGCCGGCCATACCTAGGTCCTTGACTTCAAATTCTGTGTGCTTTTTTTGCCATGCTGCCTCAAGGGTGGGAGGGGTATGAAAGTAGATGAAGAAAAATCATAGCAACAAATGGAAAACAAAACACTGGTGGTATTAGAAGCCCAAGCCTGGAGACAGATCACAGAGGACAGGGAAAACACCCAGGTAAGGTGTTGGAGGTTGTGTGTCAGCATCTTTAAAGGCCTTTCTTTGGGGAGCTATCCTAATAATAATAAGAGCTAACATTTCTGTGCATTTACGAGAAGACAGGCACTGGGATAAATGCCTCGCTTGTACTATTTTGTCTAAACCTTGAAACAAGCCTATATTTTAGGTGTTTTTTTAAAAAGATTATTTATTGGGGCACCTGGGTGGCTCAGTCAGTTAAGCGTTTGCCTTTGGCTCAGGTCACGGTCCCAGGGTCCTGGGATCGAGCCCTGCATTGGGTTCCCTGCTCGGCGGGAAGCCTGCTTCTCCCTCTCCCACTCCCCCTGCTTGTGTTCCCTCTCTCGCTGTCTCTCTCTCTGTCAAATAAATAAATAAAATCTTAAAAAAAAAAAAAGATTATTTATTTATTTATTTAGAATGTGAGCTGGGAGCATGGAGGGAAAGAGGGAGAGGGAACGAGACTCTCAAGCAGATTCTGCGCTAAGCTCGCGGAGCCCAATGCTAGGCTCCATCCCACAACCTGATCACTACCTGAGCCAAAATCAGGAGTCTGAAGCTCAATCCATGGAGCCACCCAAGCGTCCCTATTTTGGGTGTTTTTATTTCATGTCTATTTTATAGATGAAGAAACTGAGGCTCAGAGAAATCAAGCCAAGTGTCCAAGGTCACACATCCTGGGAAAGGAAGTGCTTGGATTTGAACCCAGGTCTCTGTAACCCCAAAGATCTAGCCGTTCTTCATCTTCCAACAGCACTGCACATGTGTCTTTGCTCTGTGCAGGGAGAAGGATGGGAAGGCACGATCTCCACCACAGGTGGGAAGACGTCCGGCTACAAGGCTGGGTGTGCTCCTCACCAGAGCTCCGGGTGAAGGGCAGCAATCAGATGTCTAGGGCCAGGGCCCTCCCTCTCATCTCCTCCCACGTGCAGGTCCTGGCGGGAGAATATGGCCTCCACAGCCCTGAGTGAGCTGCCTTCCCACTCAGAAGACAAATTCCCAGAGCAGGAAATGTCGCCTTTGCCTGTTCATGCACTCTCTGTGTCTCTGATTCTCTCTGTCTCTATCTCTGTTCTCGGTCATGCTGTATCTCTCTCCATATCCTCTCACACTTCACTTTCTGGCTGGGAATTGAAAGGCTTCCTGTCCTTTATAAAGGGATTTTTAGTCCTAATGAAACACCGCTCCCCCCCCCCCAACCCCGCCAGGGCACTCAGGCTCAGTTCCTGGCACCGATGAGGCAAGTGCACCTCCTGGTGGGGAAATGTCTCTCTGGTCCCTCAAGGTCCGGCTCCAGCCTCACCCCCAGGAAACCTCTGTGCGCCTGACAATGTGCGTCGGAGAGGGTGCCGGGCTTGTGGGCTTCTTTTCTAGTTTCTGCAGGTTAGAGCTTGCATAGACAACTGGGAAAAGCCACAGACATGAGCTCGTCCTGCAATTGCAGGACCTGAGCATCAGACTTGGAACCCCAGGTGCATTGCAACCTGCCCTCCTGGGAGAGGTACTTCCAGACCCCACGAAGCCTAGCCCCATGGTTCCCAATCCTGGCTGAACTCTAGTACCAGCTGGGGACATCTAAAATGTGCTGATGGTTGGGCCCTGCCTGGAATCCTGGCACTGGTATTTTTAGATGTGCCCACCCCCCTGTCATGGCCCAACGTCCACCCGCCATCATTTGAACTGTAGCCAGGGTTGAAACTATAGGAAAGATGGGGTTTCCAGATCCTTCCTTCGGCCTGCTGGATCAGAATCTCAGAGAGAGACTAGAAGCCTGTCTTTTATTTTTTCAAGGATTTATTGATTTGAGAGAGAGAGAGAGAGAGAGAGAGAGCATGTGGGAGGGGGGCAGGGGGAGAGAATCTCAAGCAGACTCCCTGCTGAGCATGGAGCCCAACACAGGGCTGGATCCCATAACCTGTGAGATCATGACCTAAGCTGAAACCAAGAGTCGGGTGCTTAACCAGCTGAGTCACCCAGGCACCCGAAGAAACCTGTCTTTCAGAACAAGGAGCTGAAGTGATTTTTAGAAACAGTGCAGTTACAAAGCACTGGGAGACCCCCCCTTCATCTTTATGGGAAGGCAGTGGGGTCCAGGGAGGTGACGAGCCAACCCCAGGCCTTGCAGCTTGTGGACAGCTGGGGCCCAAGTCGCTGGATACCAGTTCAGAGGGGCCATGAGAGGCAGGGAGGCAGTGCCAGGCCATAGGTCCAGGCTGCTAAGCGGGAAGGAGGGACTCATTTCCTCTCCTGCTTATACGAGCCCTTCCAGTCCTACCTCCAAAGGCATCCTGAGGTCCTCTCAGTGCCCTGCTCCTCTGTGAGCCCTATGGGCTCAGATCTGTCTCTGTCTGGCACCCTCCCCCTCCCTCTACAGGGGCTGTCGACTCTCTGGTGCCCTGAATTCCAGCTTAGTTTCCTCCAGCCATGTGCCCTCATCCCAGGGTCTGGGCCTGACAGCCCTGATCCCAAGATTGTGGGGAGATGGGATGTGGGCACTAGGCCTCCTCCAGAGTTGGGGGAGGCTGAGCTGCAAATTTTTTTCTGAAAGACTCAGCAGCCACCTCCCCCAAAGAGCCCTTGGTTCCTGGGGAGGTCAGAGGCAATTCTCTGGGGACCCGCACTGCCCCGAGGACAAGGTTCTCTGTCCCTAGAGCCCTCTACCTCCCGAACCCTGGACTGCCTAGGGGAGATCTGTCCAAGCCCCAATCTGACCACGTTGCCCGCTAAACACACACACACACACACACACACACACACACACACACAGCTCCAGCTGAGACTTGCTCGGTGAGCCTGCCTGACCTACCTGGGCCAGTACCCCCTGCTCCTGAGAGTGTCCTCTCGCCTACTTAGTAGTTTATGGCAAGGGGCTGGGGGCAAAGAATGGGTTCAAATCTGGGGTCCAGCACTGGCCCGCTGAGAGCCTCTGGACAAGTTTTGTGATGTGGAGTCTCTGCCATTTACTTCTTGTATGGAAAAGAGTAGAGGCATAATAACAATGATGATGCCTTCCCAGAGCTGTTTGTGAATCTATAGATAGTATGGGAATGTGCTCTGGAAATCACAAGGACTATACAGACATGAGTTTTTCTTTGCCCAGTCACTTCTGTTCTCCTTCAGAGGCAGCCCCCGCTGTGAGCTTCTCCCAGCCCAGCAGCTCCCCGCCAATACTCTGCCGCCACAGTCTAGCAGCTGTGCTTGGGTCCACATCCCCACCCCCTCATTAACGAGCAGCGTGCTTAGGAATACTACCCAAACTCTTTGTGCCTACCTTTATTCCTCCGTACATGGCATTGTAATATTCCTGCTTCCTTGGGTTACCAGGATCAAAGGAGTCAAAACATGGCAAGTTGATGGCCAGGGTTTCAAAGGAAGGGAAGGAGGGATGAATTGAAGCACAAAGGATCTTTAGGGCATCAAAACTCTTCTGTATGATAGTGTAATGCTGGAGGCATGTCATTATATATTTGTCCAAATCTATACAACATAACACAAAGAGCGAATCCTAATGTAAACTACAAGCTTTAGCTAACAATAATGTGTTAATTTGGCTCATCAATTGTAACAAATGTACCACACTATTGCAAGATGTTAATAAAAGGGGAAATTGAGGGGTGGGAGTGAGGGGTTAATGGACATTCTTTGTACTTTCCACTTGTTTTTCGTAAACCTAAATGCTCAGAAAAATCTATTATAATAAATCTATTTAATAATAATCTATTATAATAAATCTATTATAAATAAAACAAACAAAAAAACCTGTGACAAATAGCGAGCCTCCTGAACAGTGCAAAGGCTTGAACGGTTTTTTGGAGTTACCATCCCGTCATTGTCCACACATCGTTGGTGAGCATGGTCTCAAGACTGGGAGCCCAGGGCACTTGCTCCCCTGTGTACGCATCCCCAAAAAAGCACGGCTCTCACCGACAGTTTGGGCGTTTTGCTGAGCAAAGAGTCCCCGACTCAGACCTGGAACCCAAGGATTTCTGAGGTGAGGGCGCCACCTGCTGGCTCCGCTCAAGCCTCCCCTAAAAGGCAATGACCTTTGGGTGTGCGGCGTTGTCCCCGGGGCGGGAGCCTCGGTTTCCACGGATCCGCGAGTCCCTCGCTGTGCCACTCATGCAAACCACCTGTGTCACGTAGCGAGTCCAGGCTTGTCACCAGTAACGACATCTCATGACTTTATTACGGAGAAGTCCCCAACGTGCTGGAGCGCAATCAAGATCAGGGGCAGGTGGACGCTTCTCTGGGCGGAGGTCTCGGAGGACCCAGTCCTGCTTCCGGGCTAGCAGAAAGGGAGCAGCACAGGGGTGCGACGGCGCAGGTCGGAGCAGCGGGACTCCCAGCCACCGGTAGCGACGTCTCTTCTCGCTTTTGGCGCCAGCACAGGGGAGTCTTAAGGATGCCAAACATTTAACGGTGTGTCAGGACCTATTCTGAACATCTTACTGGGGTTAACTAATATAATCCTCTTGAGGAACATACGAGGTAGGTACTATTATGGTTCTTCCCCACTGTACAAATGAGACAGCGGAGGAACAGAGAGGCCAACTGACTCACCCAAGGTCACACTGTCAGAGAAAGGTGGGGCTGCAATTGGATGTCCGGAGTCCATGCTGTGTGAGCGACCTCTCAGGCCGCCTCTACCTCTACTTTCCTCATCTAAGAAATGGGTGTACCAATTCCTCCGTGCCTTTCCAGGCTGGCTGGGGCTGGAATAAAAGCTGAGAGGTGAACACACCTGGTCTGTCCTACAGGTTGGGCCACGGGTGTGAGCCATCCCCGGGCCCCACGGGTGCCGGACCCGTGTCCCCGCGCCAGGGTCTAGGGTTGCAGCTCGTACTGCTGCTCGGTGGCCGTGTGGAAGTCCTCGAGCACCGACTGCAGGAATTCGAAGGTGGGCCGCTCCTCCGGCCGGTTCCTCCAGCACTCGGCGATGACACCTCGGTACAGCTCGGGCGGGCATGAGTCGGGGCGCGGCATGCGGTAGCCGCGCTCCAAGCTGCGGATGACCTCGGGGTTGCTCATTCCTGCAGGCCGAGGGGATGCAGAGCGCGGCTGAGGGGCGTCCTGGGCCCGTGAGCCACGGACCGCCGCCTCCTCCCTCGCAGGTCACCGGGCTGCCTGGCTGTGCCACTGAGAAACATCCCTGAGGCTGGGGATGGTCTCCTTAGTGCAGGACAGTTCCTCCGTGTGTGGGACCCTGTCTTGCTTATTGGCGATGGGCACACAGCCGAAACCCGTCCCTCACTGGGCAGGTGCTCCATGAAGACGCACCAGCCAGCAGAGGGACATCGCTCGCTGCAGGCTGCTGAGCTGCCCAAGCCCTTGGGGGCTGGGCCGGGGGGCTGGGAAACTGCACAGTCAGGATAGGGCTTCCCGGAGTACACCCCAGGTGGAAGGCCAAGGGAGAGACAACCTGTCCTCAAGTGAGAACAAACCAGTTTGGAGTAAACTTGAGTTCAGACACTGACCTTCACTTAATTCCTGGTTTGGGGGTTTACTGACCTCCGCTGAATGAAGGGGGCACAGCCCTGTTGCCAAAAGCAATGTTGAGGAAGGGGGCGGAGCCTCTGTCCCCAGAGTGGCATACATGGGTCTCTGTTCCGGCTGCGGGACCCCATTCTGGCATGGATGTGGGCAACCCCAGGCACCAAGGATGGGGTATCTGTCATTGCAGCCATTTCTGGAAGGCAGGAAGCCCATCTAGTCACTGCGGGGCGAAGCCACCTACCTGGGTAAGGTACACGCCCATAAGTGATGATTTCCATCAGGAGGATTCCAAATGACCACACGTCTGCTTTGATGGTGAACACCCCAAAATGGATGGCCTCTGGGGCAGTCCACTTGATGGGGAACTTGGCTCCTGTGAGAAAAGCCACGAGCAGCGTTGTGAGGCCATGACTGCCTGTCCCTATGCACCTGTCCCTCCCCCCTTTTGCAGGGCTTGGACCACTCTATACAATGGAGATGCTCCCAGAGACCCACTGAGACTCACTAGGGCATGGGAGCAGGAACGTTTAGACAGTAGGGGTCCACAGCACAAGACACAACCTCTGTCACCCTGTTTGGGTCTTGGCTCAGTGGGCTTCACAGCGCAACCCACATGTGTTTCCACCTGGGACAGAAGGGTCATTTTCCACCTCACATGTTTAACAACAGGGATCCATGGCCTGAGTAAGTCTCCTTAACTTGTCCCTGCCTCAGTTAATCCTTACCTGCAAGATAGAAATGATGACATAGGACTCATGGACCACCTAGGTCACAGTGAGGAGGGAATTCCAATCCTGCTGTGCCATGAAGCCCCGTGGATGCCTGCAGTCCTGGTCAGCATTCAGAGTAGATGGCATACAGCTCAGCACTGGATTGCCTCCTTCCTTGCCCTGCTTTCTTGGTCTCCCCAGCCAGCCTGAAGTTTCCTCAGGGAACAAGTCCCACTGATCCTTCTCCTGTACCAACTGGGAGTAATATGCTCAGCTACTATTGCTGGCTAGCTTACTTGAGACATGTATTTGCCATTTCAAATCCTCTCGCGAAGAGGATTTTTTTACTTCAGTTATACCAACACAGGAAAGCAGAGTGCTCTGTGGAAACCCTAATTCGTGTATAAGCTTTTGCTGCTCATGCTTCAGAAAAGTGTTTTCCAAAGTGTGTTCTGTGAAACCCTAGTTCCGTGGGAGGCTGATAGAAGCTAAGTGGAAAAAGTATCTTGGGCTCAAATTAGTTTGGGAGAGACCAGGTGAAGCAAATGTACACTGTTTCTTTGCTGCAAGACTTCTCAGTGCCTTTAATACATTGGTGTGCACCAGGAATCTCCAAAGGGGGCCTGAACAGACTGTGCAGCATTTCCAAACCCGCTCCATCACAAAGCCATTCCTCATCGGGCACTAGCACTCTGCAGAGCACCTTTAGGGAAATGCTGGTCTGCCTGGGAGTAAGGCCAGAATTGGGAAAACCACAAAGCTCTCAGATCTCTTCACATAGGGCTCTGCTCTGGAGCAGCGAGGAGAAGTCCAAGGGGGTTTGAGGAGTTGGGGAAGGTAAGGTCCAAGGTCTCTGCTCACCTTCTTGAGCGGTGTATTCACTGTCAATGATGCGGGCCAAGCCGAAGTCAGCAATCTTACAGCACAAGTTCTCAGACACCAAGATGTTGGCTGCCCTCAGGTCGCGGTGGATTGAATTCATTTGCTCAATATACGCCATTCCTTCGGCAATCTGGGGGAAGAGGCCACACATGAAGGACAGCGTAGAGACCTCCAAGCAAGGATGGAACCCACCCAGCATCCCCTGCACAGCCCCAGTGAGGAGAGGAAGGACCCTGCCCACCTATCTGGAGGGCCAGGCTTCACTCCCTCACAGCCCCGAAGGGGCAGGAACACTTGGGGGTCTGTGTTTGTATTTGTGCTCGTGTTTGTTGGCAGGGGCAGAGGGGGTGGAGGGTGCTGCTGGGGAAGGAGCAGGTTCTTGAGTGGAGAGGACAACCGGCTTCAGTTGCTCCTCAGCTGAACAAGCCATGCACCCCAGCCCTCGAAAAGCCCAGAAAAGCAGAGACGCTGGTGTCAGAACCAGAGCTGCCTGAAGCCCTCCTCACTCACCTCTGTCTCCTTCCAAGTGTCTGCCTGGGAGGAAGGCAGCAGAATGAAAGCAGGAGAAGAAGGTCTCTCAAGGGGCAGGGGAAGAGAAGGGCAGGGAAGGAGGGAAGGAAAGGATTTTATCTCCTCGCCCAGTCGGAAGCACTGTTCTGGAGCAAGGAGCCTTGGATTGGAGCTGCTTAAGCTCCCGGAGGGCACCCCGTCCTGACCTGCAACACGAAGAAAGGGGTCTCCAGGGTGCGGAGTTGAGGTGGGTGTTATACCACACAGGAGGCCAAGGGCCTAACCCAGCGCTGTCCTAGGCAGGCTCTCAGAGGGCATGCGCAGAATCCCCATGGCCCAGCGGCCATTTCTGTTTCTGTCCCCGATCGCCAGCACCGGGCCAGGTATAGCCGCTCGTGTGGCCCTTGTGTCTTGTGGTTGAGAAAACTCATTCAGGCTTTATTCACGGCACTCTCAGATGATGGATGAAAAAATTGAGGCAGAGAATAGAATGCTAATGTACCTCCTCAGACCAGCGATGGCAAGAAGGCAGCACTGAAATTCATCCCACTTCTCCGTATGTGTCCAGCTGCACTGGTTTATTCATGAGTCCATTCACTTAGTCATTTAGTTATTCCTTTGCTAAATCAGTGCATCAATATACATTTATTGGAATGCTACTGTGGGGACTAGAAAGCTGAATACCAAATATCTTGGATCTGGATAGCATCTACCAGTACTCCTCCCATTAACAAATATGTACTGAGCAGTACTAGAAATACCACCAAAAAGAAAAAAAAAAAAAGTTGCGAGGGACCCAGATGTGCTTTCAAGAAGACTACACCATGCACAATGCTAACAGAAACTCGTGTACTAAGTGCTCTCTGCCACTTTCCCATCCAGGGAAATTTGAATTGAATTTATCTTGGGTCTTGAAGGTTGATGAGGATTTTGCCAGATGAAATGCCAGGATTTTGCCCAGGCGTTCTGCACGGAGAGGGCAGCCTGAGTGAGGGCTCACTGGTGTGACAGGACATTTGGGGGCTGCTGTGGGGCTGCAAAGTAGGGCATACGGGTTATGGTTGTAGGGGAGATTTGCATTTCATCCTGCAAAGCAGGAAAGGGGGCGTCCAGAAGGGTAGTGCGTGTGGGTCCACACGTGTGCATGGTGAGGGGCTAGCATGATTAGAATGTGGTTTAGAAGCTGTTCACTTGGAAGGTTCTGATTTTCTGGTTTCCTAACCCTTAGGTTCTTGGCCACGTCTAGGTATAAATGCAGGTGGCTTTTCACAGCCTTTGCCCCTGGGGGACCCGATTTCCCCAGGGACGGAGAAAGAGACAGAGGAGAGTGAGAAAAGGCAAAGAAAGAAAGAAAAAAGGGGTGGACACGCTTATCACTGTTATGTGGTTTGAAACTGGTTCCCAGCGTTAATTTTCCGAGACCACTCAGCAGCCTACTCAAAGCCATCTGCGCTTACCTCAGTGGAAAAAGGGCATCGTGACATCAGTTCCTGCACTGATACTAATAACAGATAATACCAGCCAAGGTGGGGATGGGGTGGTGTGGGGTGAGGGGGAGGTTTCCTCTCTGGAGGCGGAAATGTGTCTTTCTGTGTCTCACCGGCTGACCACAGACCAGAGCTTTTCTGCTGAGAGTTCCAGTTCTAACAGACACACACACTCAGGGCCACCAGATGTGTTTTCCTGCCAGTTAGAGAACCCTCAGCTAACATCCCCAGAGAGGAACGATCCCTCCTCTCCATTTCGCTCTTCATCTCATGAAGTCTGGATTGCGATTCACCTGCTAGAGAAGGCATTTGTGGGCACAATCTGAGGAAGAGAGGTGGTCACAAAACACCCATCTACACTCTTACATGGAATGCAAGTAAACTCTCTGGGTTTCCCACACCGTCCGTTCTCCCTCTCTTCCTGAGTAATAGGACTCACCTCATTCCATCCCAACGGCCCAGAATAAAGACTACATTTCCTAACCTCCCTTGCAGGCTAGGTGTGGCCAGGTGACATGGTTGGAGGTGGGAGGTGGGGAGAGAAATGTTAAAGCAAGGATAGTAGGTGACTTCAGGGACATGTGTCTAGAGGGAAGAAAGTGGGCTTTCATCTCTCTTACTTCTTCCTGCCAGTTGAGAAGAGCACAAGATGGTAAAGTGTGAGCAAACATCTTGGGGAAGAAGATGACATGCTAAGTGCACAGCAGGAGGAAGAAATGTGGGTCTCTGGGTCTTTGAGGGAAAGACCCACCTACCTGCCCCCACACAGACCACCTCTGGATGTTTACAAATTTAAACCATTATTACTTTGGGGTTTCTGTCCTTCCCAACCCAGCCTAAATTGCATGGATACAACCTCTGAACAGCCAATTTCAGGAAGCCACAGGGCACAGAGGAGAGGGCCTGGGGTCATTACTCTGGGGCTCCACTGTACTTGATAGCTCACAAACCTGGGCTGACATGTCGATCAGTCTGGGAAGGGACAATCTGCTACCTTCATCCGTCTTCAGGAAATCCAGTAAGCATCCTAAGGAAAGAGAAGTTGCATCTGCTCTTCTGCAAAATGATCCAAGCCCAGCTGTGCCCGTCTGTCTCTCCCAAGTGGGAGCTGCTCCCCACCTGGCGTCAGGAAGCATGGGGAACCCTGTCAGATCTCTTGGACGCAGAGAATAAAATCCCCCACAGCTGCAGAGCGCTGTCTGCTTTACAGAAATTCTAGTCTTGGGCGCCAGAGCATCCCAGGAGGCAGGTACTGTGCTCCCAGCTGCTCAGAGGAAGGTTGGTTCCAGCCATGTTCAGAGCCACCCAGCCAGGGAGCCAGGAGCAGAACCTGCTCTTCCGACCATAAGTTTAGTGCCTATTCCTGGCATGCCATTCCAAAGGGTCTTCCTGTCCCCTTCACCCTTTGTTGGCAGAGATTCTGCCTCTGAGGACCAAGGGTGCAAGAAAATGCCAGAATGGAGAGATCTGCCTCCTGGGGTTTGGTGCTGGGGACAAATGCAGCTCCACCATGGCATCTAAGAGCTGGGAGGGATGGTCACCTGAGGTGGGCTGAGGTGAGCAGGGGAGCTATTGTGCTCCCAGCTCAATGGGGGGCCCCCTTCAGGATGATTTCTAAGGAGCTAGGTTAACATGGCAGGTTAGGATCCTACAGGAAGGAGTGGGCAATCAGGGTCACGGGAGGGGTGGGAAGGAGGTCACAGGCTGACCCCATGCCCACTGCCCCATGAGACCTTGCCCCTCCCCCCCGCCCCCATGGACCTCCATAGCCAGCTGGCCCGACCTCTCTTTTCACCCCATGCTGTCAGTTATGGTTGTCAGAGGTCCACGGCTAGTGAGTGGCAGAACTGGGACCAGAACCCATCTCTGGACGCCCAGTCGACCACTCTTGGCAATGCTCTGCCTTCCCTAGTGGGGCATGCAACAGTTCTGGGCACAGAAGATGCCCTCCAAAAATGTGGCCCGAAGTGTGTCCAAATGGGGGACACAGCTCTGTAAGAACCATTGACCCATCTTGTTTCTCACCATCCTTCCTGCCTGCCCCCCAGCATGTGGAATACCTTAGAACTGTAGGACGTTGGCTAACTGATGCAGCCCATGGCCCAGTGATTCCCCCACGGAGGTCCCCTGACCGGCAGACCCACTGCAGCAGATCAGCCTCAGCCTTCTGGGCCCCCCAAGCCTGGACCCCGCCCCTCCCTGCCCCTGTCTGACGATGCAACCCCATGCAGGGCACCACCTCTGGCCATGTACTCCGTCACGATGTAAATGGGTTCCTTGGTGACCACGGCGTAGAGACGAACTAGCCTCTCATGCTGGAGAGTTTTCATCAGGTTGGCCTCTGCCAGGAAGGCCTCCGGAGACATGGTTCCCTCCTTTAAGGTCTTGATGGCCACTTTCACGTTGTTCTTGTAATAACCTGAGCCCGGGTCGGGGAAAGAATACAGAAGGCATTCAGAAGACCCAGACGCTGAGGAAGGTGATCCCTTCACTACAATGTATATCAGCTTTCAGAAGCCATCCTTATTCTACAGGTGGAGGACTGAGGCCAGAGCAGTCCCCTCCCTGGCACCCAAGAAGGAGCCCTGGGCTCAAATGTACAGCTCCTGCAAGTAACAGATGAGCTGGCCTCCCTTGCAGGATGCCAGCCTGTCTCAGCCTCTTGTGCTCGTCTGGAGCCTCAGGAAGTTGAGGAACTTCCCCGCCTGGAGGGGGGCCGTTTTACTTCCTCACCCCTGCACCGGCTCTATGTCGCGTCCCTTCTGTTCTCCCTATAGCCTGCCCCCTTTCCCGACAGGAGTCTCTTCTACCACATGATAGCTTCAGTCTGGAAATGAGCATCCCAGCCCGTGGCAACACTGGGAGGCAGAGGTGGCTTGCAGACCTCCCTCCCTCCTTTCTGTGCCCTGCGATATTCCTTTCCCACTGTACCTCCACATTCTCCCCTCCCTCCATCAAGTCCCCCACCCACATGAAAGGTAAAAGAAAAATCATAATTGGACTTGCCCTTCTCAGGGGAGCTTTGCAAGGACCTACGCAGGGCTCCTGCTACAAGTGCTTTGGGCATCAGCCCCAGGTGCTGGAGGGTTTGGGGATGCAGCAGGATCCGACCTTGATATCATGCCCCAGAGATATGAACCATTCCAGGGATAAAATAGAGCACTGCCTTTTATAGTCTGATAGTGCCCTTGGTGAGCAGGAGAGTGGTTGTCAACCACACATACAGGGACCTGGGAGTTAAGTGATTTGGCTAGCCACCCCTCTACAAGCAGTGGTTTGGTCTATTATTAGAGTCCTAGAGCTCCCGGATCACTGTTGACCATGTTTAACAGGTCATTTCATCTGGCAAACCAAAGCTAAGAGGAGTTAGCCAGATGTTCAAGTTCATATGCCAGTCCATGGCAGGCTAGCCTTGGGCAGTGAAGAGTGAGGGAGGGAACCAACTAAACTGTTGGGAGAGCTGGAGTCTACTCTTACTGCACCACCGTGGTGTCCTAACAAGTGAGGACAAGTCACTTCAGTGTTCTAGGCTTGCCTTCATTACCTCATCTGTAAAATGGGTACCATCGCCTCTGGCCCTTCTCCCGAATAAGCTCTCTGGGAAGCACAATGCACTGTGCATATCCCGAGCCTTCTGTGCTTCAGGACACAGGGCAGGGAGAGAAAGGCTCCTGGCTGCCATGTACTCACCCATCCAGACTTCGCCAAACTGCCCAGACCCAAGTTTCCTGACCAGCTTGAGAGACTGCCGGGGGATTTCCCATTCATCCTGGGCCCAGGGGTTTTGAGGAACCAGGCTCACACAGGGGTGGGTCAGCCTCTGGCATAAACCATCCCCTTTCTCTGCATTAGGGAAGAAGAGACGGGGCTGGAGATTACCAGAGCAACCGGATCACAGCTATCCTTCCCAGCTGTGTCCCCTTCTTGTTTTTGCCAACCACACTCCCATGTCCAAGTACACGTGCCCGGGTACACATATACCACACACATTCTCTGCCATTTGTATTCATTTTGTATAAAGCGAGGCATGTTGTCCATTGACCTGCTCTCTCTAAGACTGAAAATCCTTGTTAATCTCCAAGTGGTCACATGCTGAGTGAGCCAGCAGAAGGGACTAGGGACATAAACTTTGAATCATTATGTTGATATTTGCTCAGCCTTGGGATAATCCCCTCCCCAAGATGGCACCAGTGAGTCACATGGTCTTGAGATCTTAGTAATAGATCCAAGGACTCCTCTCCCCGCCGCCCCCCAACACATCCTCCGCTCTTACGAGAATAATGTTGCACCAAAGCCTGGAGAGTAGGGAAGGTGATGCGGGGGGAGATGTAATAGCCCCCTTCATCCAGGGAGCGGATCTTGTAGTGTTTGATCATCTCCCCCTGGGTGGTCACATCCTTCACAGTCAAAGAAAAGGCACCTAGAGGAGTAATAAAGACACAAGGCGTACGAAGGGAAAATCAAGATTGAGATTTGGGCTTCATTTCAAAGCCTCCCCAAATTCTGCTCCCCATTTTGACCCTTCCCACCATAAGTTACCTTTCTTTCACCCCAACCTCAACCCTCCAGAAAGCCTTCCTAATTCCTCTCCACCCAACTCAGACCTTGATGTTTCTCTCCCAAAACTCAGCCAGGAAATCCCGGAACTCTGGAGCGGGGGCAGGATGTTCTCGTAGCAAACATGCTGTCCCCCACTTGGGGACCTGGTCATTCGGGGACCCCCTTTGTCGTGGACTATTGAGAAATGTAGAGTTACTGGAGGAACTAGGGGATTGATTCATGGATTCATTCACCCATTCATTCTAGCTGAAAAGGCTGCCCTGCCCCCACAAGGACTAGCAAATCCCAAATTTAAGCACTCATGTCCGTGGAGGAGAACAGAATAACTTATTTCCCAAATTCATACACATCTATGCACCTTGTCACGTATATTACTGTCTGCCTGCAGACAAGGGTAGGTAGCAGATGCTAAAGGTTAAGAGCAATCTAGGAGGCAAGAGTTTCCACTGGAAAAAAGTCTTTCCACAAACTTGATGTTTTTATAAAATGCCTCTGTGCAGATCTCTGCCTACCACGCCTGCCACTCTTAATTAGAAGATGAAGAAACTGAGGCCAGGAAGGGGAACGTCCCTTGCTCTGGGTCACCGGCTGGTTAGCAGCAGGTTTGAAGGCTCCCCATCCTCCCTGAGGACGCATTTGCGGGAAGCGATACCACGCTCGCCCGCTAGGTGTCAGGCTCGGACGCCTCTTCTTCTGATTGCCCACGCCTGGTTTTTCCGAGGTGCCGTTTGTCTCCATCGCAAACCACCTTTCCCTCTCATCTCCCTTAGCTATTGAGCCTCTCATCACCCACTTGCAAAACGATGCAAGAAGTGTGTGCACCTCGCCAGGCCCATCCCACGCCCGCTACCCCAGCTCCACCCTGCACGCTGCAAACTGTCTCCCCCACCTCGCCCCGGTTAAATGCAACGGTGTCCCAGTATCTAAGAAACCGGAGAGTGGCTCTAGTGGGTTCATTCAACCTCACACCACCCCGGTAGTGAGGAAGAGGGCCTTTCTTCCCCCCTCCTTTTTTTTTTTTTTTCCAACTGTACCCTGTGTAGGATGCATCATAAGAAGCCTGGGAGACCCTGCTCTCCTCCCCACGATGCTGCTACGGGAGCTCATGATTTAGGGCCTCCCTCTTGCAGGGGTTCATCCAAGGGCCTGCCCCCCATTTCTTTTCACAATTCAATATTCTTCTTAAAGGAGACCTCCAAATCCTATCAGCTGCAGGTTCAGGGCTCCCAGAGATTGAGATTTAACACCCGCAGAACTGTCTGCCTTTGGACTGGGAAACTAGTTGGTCCTCACACAGATACCAATAAACGTAGGCTTGAGAGGCTAAGGGACGTCCTGGAGGCAACATGGGGTGAGAATTCATTTCCCCTGCTTCTGAGGGCAGAGTTCCTTCCTTGTCTTACATCTACTGGCTGTGGTTTGCAGATGTGGATGGAAGGCACTTGCTTCGGAGTTGTGAGGAGCACGTGTGCACAGGTGTCTATGTGTGTATACATGTGTGTGGGCTTGGTGATGCTGGGACAGTCCTGCAGCCCCGGCTCCACCTGGCCAATTTCCAGCGTGGACTAGCTTCTCCAGGGTGGTCAAGGACAGGAGGGGTAGCCCCACCTTTAGAGAACTCCTTCCTCCATCCTCAGGTTGGGGGTCCCTTTCTCTCCAAAGGGCACCTTAGCAATAGACAATGACTAAGACATCATGTGCAGGGGGAAATCACATGATTCTGGGACTTGCGTCAACATAGTAGGGGTGGGGTTACACAGGAAACAAGATTGGCTGAGCGATCATCATCACAGCGGAGTGTTGGGTACAAGGGGTTCCATTATACTATTCTCTCTACTTCTGTACATGTTGGAAACATTCTATAAAAACAAAACAAGTACATCACCTCCAGTGATTCCCATATCATTTCTTGGTCATAGGTGTTTTGCCGTTAAAATGGAATAGTAGCAATATGGCAATATCCATATATATACATATAGATGGATTTAATTCATCCGCTGGTGCATTTCCAGAAATTCTGTACAGAGCACCCAACTTCCCAATGCATCCCTCCTACTCCTCAACCTGACTCTGACCCTTTGAAGGGCAGGGAGGCGTCGGGGTCTCCCCTGAGCCTCCCAGGGTGTAATGAGCAGCTCTCTTGGTCCCACTTTCGCTGTTCTGGTGCTTCTACTCACTGCAGTTCTCAAGCTGTGATGGAGCTGAGGGACAAGGCTGGAGGGGTGCTCCCACTAAGCAGAACCTCTCTCTCCTCTCATTGCCCCAACCACAGGGAACCAACTTGCAGCCCAGCCACCGTCTCTGCCCTTCCTCCTCTGATGCCACGGTCACCACCTCCTCTCCAGTTAAAAATTGGCCATAAGGATGTACGAGGTCCTTATGGGCCATGTCCTGATGAACAAAGGCTTTCTTCACATTGCTTGGGAAATTTCCTTCCATCAGCCCATGACAGGCTAGCTGGACACACTGTAGAGCTCCTGCAGCCTCTTAGATGATGTGGGCTCTGACCCTCTGACCCCTGTTCACTGTTGGCCTCATGGGAGTCACTTCCTCCCTTAGGGACTCAGTTTCCTCACCTTTCAAATGGGGGTATTGGCTCAACATCCCAAAGATGGCAAATATGTACCATATATAATAAGGTTCGGAGCAGCATGTTCATAACAGCCCCAAGCTGGAAACAGCCCATGTCTCCCAACATTAGAAAGGAGAAACAGCTTACAGAATATTCATATGCTGGGTTCTATACAGCAGTGAAAATGAACGGACTACTGTCCTCCTTGACAACATGAGGGGACCTGTTATGGGCTAGACTGTGTCCTTCCTAAATTCCTGTGTTGGAGCCCTCACCTCCAGTACCTCAGAATGTGACTCTATTTGGAGATGAGAGCTTTAAAGAGGTAACTACTGAAGTCATCGGGGGTGGGGGGCCTAACCAATATGACTGGTGTCCTTGTTAGAAGAGGAGATTAGGACGCAGACTGAGGACAGACCAGGTGAGGACACAGGGAGAAGCCGGCCATCTGCAAGCCAAGGAGAGAAGCCTCAGGAGAAACCAACCCTGCTGCCACCTCAATCTTGGACTGCCAGCCTCCAGCATCATGACACAGTACATTTCTGTGAAGCCCCCCAGTTTCTGGTACTTTATTACAGCAGGTCTAGCAGATTAATATAGAATGTCACAATGTCGAGTGGAAGGGACAAGACATACAAAAATAAAAAATGGTATGATTCCACTTGCATAACGCTGGAAATATATAAAACATGGGTGGCAAGGAAGGATTTCCCTAAAAGTTGGGGCATCTAGGTGGCTCAGTCGGTTAGGCGTCTGCCTTCGGCTCAGATCATGATCCCGGGGTCCTGGGATCGAGGCCCGCATCGGGCTCCCTGCTCAGCAGGGAGTTTGCTTCTCCCTCTCCCTCTCCCTGCTTGTGTTCCCTCTCTCGCTGTGTCTCTCTTGCGCTCTCAAATAAATAAATAAAATCTTTAAAACAAAGAAAAAAAAAGAAAAGAGGATTTCCTTAAACACTGAGATAGCAGTGACCTCTCTGGGGGGTGGGTAGGTTGAGTCAGAGAGGGGCACAAGCAAGCAGTGAGAGGGGCTGTGGACGTCTGGAATGTTCGCTCTCTTTGTGGCTGCACAGGTGTTTACCTATTATGGCTATAATTATACCCTCACTTATAATTTATGCAGCTTTTATAAGTTTTATATGTCAAAACAAAGGAACTTTAAGAAGGAAAGGAGAGAAAAACGAATGAAAGAGAAAGAGAAAGCCCGGTGGCCTGTGGGCGGCGGCGGCAGAAATGTTTTGCTCCGTCGGGGGTTTTGAATCCATGAGTGCTCCCAGTTCTCCACAATGGCCACCCCCCTTCTTTCATATCTAGCTATGGGCCATTCTCCAAACTTCTGTCACCTTCCAGGCTCCTGTAATTGCCTCTGGCTGAGATGATCTCTAAGGAGTCTATTGGCTCCCAAATCCTTTGATTCCAAAAGGTGGCTCTGGGTCACACCCCTTCTCCCGACCCTGCCAGCCTCAGTGTCCCTGTTGAGCCAGAGATGATGCACAGTGGCCTGGGCGGGAGCAGCCCTCCAACTGCCTCTCCTCCCTGCGCCCTGTACATTTCCAGCCCGGCCAATGGAGACCTGTTGGTGCCACAGCCTCACACTCAGCTACTGGGCACTAGACGGGCTGTCCAGGCAGGTCCTGAATTGACAGGGAGACAGGAGACCCGGAAACCACCGGGTTCCCCTGGCTGGCATTCCCCTCCCAGAAGCAGTCTCGGGGGGCTTCCTGGGGCCTGCACAGGAAGGGTGTGCTGGGGGCCATGCTTACCTTTGTTGGTTTCACTCTCTCTGATAAGAAAGGAGCCCGCCTTATTGATTGGAGCCAGAAGCTGCCTCTCAGCATCTTTCCGGCTAATTGATCTAAAGAACCATCTGGAAAAGGGCAAAGGCAGGCAAACCTCAGAGGCTGGTCACGCTTCTCGGAATATTCTTATCTGTACCTCCCTTCTAAGCTGTATGCCCCCCCCCCAAAATAAAATAGCGTTTTCCTGTTTTCAGGTTTACCCTGAACTAACAACACTTCTCATATCTTGATTCATGAAATGCCCTTTGGCCCCTGGGCCCCCTTTTCTTTTCACTTCCCATCAGCAGATGGACTTAATGTTTTCTTGAACCGAGAACAATTTTGGGGTGCCCTTTGTTAATTCTACTCTGGGAGAAGGCACCCAATCACTTTCTCTCAAAGCACCCCCCCCCCTCCTTGAGGTGGAGTCTGAATTCCACAAAGTACTGTGACTCTCAGAGCACAGATTCCTGCCATGTTGCTCTCAAGCATGGACCAGTCAGTGTGGAAGTAAGAACCCATAGCCCCACATACTGTTCCAGGGAGAGGCATAGGGCTGGGAGTGTCAGACAGAGAACCCTCCCAAGGGTGACCATCGCTGGATGAGGGATACCAGGTGAGGCCACTAACCTGGTTCCAGGACTTCGCTCATGAGTTTGATAGACTCTGAGCTCTTTCAGGGGAAAAGCCACATCCTACTCATTCTTACAGCTTTCTCAGTATTAGGACAGGGTCAGAGTCTGGGTCCTGTTTGCTCAGTGCGTGCTGTGGGAGGGAATGAGTGACTGGTGCTGTGTGGAAGTGGGTTATTAGGATGCTGGGGAGCACTGCTCTCTGGAGGCCAATTCTGGATGAGGCCACCACGCTGTGAGTCCCCCTGAGGTCTCCGCCCCTGAGGCCTGCCCACTGGAGGCATGGGAGGAGAGGGAGCTGATCACCAGGCCTCGATGTTAGCTTGCAAGGCCATAGGCCAGGAGGGATGTTTCCCTCCAAGTGAGCCAGGGGAGGGGCAGCTCCATTTCCCAGATGGGAAGAGTGAAGTGAGCACGGAGGGGTGGCTCCCTGAGCACGAGGTGGTCTGGGACGGCGGATAAGCCCACCCTGGCAGTTCCAGTTGGTGCCCCTTTCCTGTTCCTTCCACGCTGGGCTCACAGAGGCTCAGCTTTCAGCCACCTTCTGACCCCTCCCTGCCCAGCAGACCCCAGAGCAGAAGCAGCAAGAGTGCCTCTGCTTTGAGGGGCCTTCCATGTGTCCACCTACTTTTCCACTTCCAAGGTCTCCACTCGGGCCACAAAGTTGCTGGGCACGTAGCCTTCTCTTCCGGTGATGAGAGACCTGGCCAACCACCAGTCTCCAACTCTACGGAGGAGGAGGGAAAATGAAAATGGCAGAGTAGCTCTTGTGGGCCTCTCTTGGGGGGCCGCTCACAGCCCTCCCCCCACTCGGATTGCATCCCTGAGGCGGAGCAGTCATGGAGGGCAGATGAGAGGAAACGTGTACAAGTTGCTCAGTGAGGGGGGGTTGCTAACTTGCTGAGCATATCACAGCCTAAGCTGCCCCTGGTCCAGGTAGGAAGGGGATGATGCAGCCTCCAGGGGAAGAGTTTGTCCAGACAGCCTGACCACCCCAGAGGGCCCCTGTCTTCTGTGAGTAGCCTTCCTCTTGATTAATGGGACAGATCGAGAGTTCAGTGAGGGATTTGGGACTGGACGGGAGGAGAGCTGCTGCCCAAAGCAGGAGCCGGGCAGCCCACGTATGCCCAGAAGGTTGGGGTTTTTGTGGTTTTGGCTCAAGGTCATCACAGACCTTCAAGAACAAAAGCAGAACCTCAGGGCTCCACAGAACAAGCTGGGTGTTTGAGAGAGAGCAGACTTTGAAGGAGTTTCTGAGAGGGAGCACTGGAAATCAAGTAAAGTTGATTTCACAAGTTGAATCCTGTGCAAGGTCTGGTCTGGCAAAGGGGATGCACAAAGTTGTGGCGGGGCCACCAGGCAAGCGCTGTCCCCATCAGGAGGGCTTCACGGAAGAGGTGACTTTTAAGGTGGGTTTTGAAGGAAGAGTAGGATTTTGACAGTGGGGCAGGAGATAGTGAATGGGAACCACCTTGTGAGAAAGACTTTGGAATGGTAGATAGAAGGAAGACGACTTGGGTCAAGGTGAAAAGAAATGGCCGTGACTGGGCTGGGGGTGGAGTGATGGAGGAGATACTCATGGAGGGTGGGGGTGGGGTGAGGTGAGGAGGTGGACGGCTGGGTGGCCGTGCTGCTGTGGTAGGGAGCCACAGAGGCCTCTGACCACAGAGCTGCATTCCAGAAACTTACTCCTTCAGTATCTGTAGCTTCTCCCCCTTCAGCATCTGCAGGTCCCTGTCATTCACCGAGCTGTAGTTGTACAGGGCCACCACGAAATGCTCCTCTAGAACGAACAAGGAAGAGATGGGCACTGCTCAGGCCCAGCAGAGTGAGGGCAGGGGCTGGATAAGTCTGTGCTGTGGGCCATCTCTGGCTGCCATGAGGTCAGGAGGATGCAGGCACAGAGGGGAAGCTGTGGTGTGCTTTCTTGCTCACCGATGCAGCAGAAGACACTCCTGTCTAGCAGAGGGACCTCCTGACCTTGCTGCCGGGAACAAGGATGGGCTGCCCCACAAAGCCTATCCTGTCTTCCCCTCTGGTCTCCACATAGAAACTCTAAGGCCTGGCCAGCGCCACGCTCTCCAGGAGCGGCTAGCCCGAAGATCTAGGGAGATTGGCTGCGTTGGGCTGATGGCTGCCGTCCCAAGTTTGGGAACGAGCATTGGCTGATTCCTTATTGCCTCGAAGGCACATGAGCTTCCCTTCTCTTCCCCTTACCCAGCTGAGCCAGCTGCTTCCCCTTCCTCAGCTGCCCCTTCACATCTATTCCAAGGGGGTCTTGGAACATGGCAGCCGTAACCTTGACCTGTAACCGTGCCCAAGGCCCTGTCACAGTGTGCCTGGCAGGCGATACCCCTGACTTGCTGCTGGTCCTGGGAGTGGACATCTGGACGACCACGGCCAGTGAGGAAGGCCTTTCTGAACAGCTCTGGGGAGCCAAGAGCCACTGGAAAATCACTTGGAGACCACCCAGCTTACCTGGGAGTAGATGACTCAGCTTTGTCACCTATGTGTGGTGTGACGGCTAGTCACCTCCCTATGGGGGGGAAGGGGGATTGGAATAGATGACAGCCCCCCCCTCCAGTTCTGAGATTCAAGTTATTGCACCAAAGGCAGTTAGTTTATTGTTTTCCCCAGGGCTTCCTTGCTGGGGCCGTGAATCCCCCTTGTAGGAAGTGATGGACAAGCCCTGTGGTAATTAACTGCATCCCCAGCAGGATGAGAAACACCAGGTAAGATAGCTCATCTGGTTTCAGCATCTTGCTCAGGAGTTTGACAGACTCTGAGCTCTTTCAGGTTGAGGAGTCACGTCTTATTCAATTTTGCACCCTCCCCGGTATTTGGACAGAGCCAGGCTCTGGGTACTGTTTGCTCAGTGCATGCCGGGTGGGGGAATGAGGGATGCAGGCTCTGGCAGAGCTCCTGGTGCTCCTGCAAGCCAGTTCTGAAGGAAGCTATCATCCTGTGAGCACCCCCCCACCCCAAGGTCCAAACCCCTGACCCAGGAGGGCCAGGATCACTCTTTATGCAACCCCCCTGTCCTACCCACCAGAGTGGCAGTAGAGACTGGGGGTAAGGGAGGGTCGCCTGAGTAGTCAGAAGGTCAATAGCAGCTTTTGAAAGTGGGGAAGTGGGCAGAAAGATGGTGCTTCCATACACGGAACAGACTCAGGGCAGGAGGGAAGACGCAGACCCATCGGCCCTCGCCCTTTGAGGTTGGGAGTTAGAATCTTTGAAAACTTGGGTTTGTTTTTATGCTGTTTGTATTTACTATAATGTTTTTCTTTTTGTCTCATTTACAGTTTGTAAAGTCCTTTTTTTGAAAAACAAAACCCAGAAAGCCCCCCAGGCTCAGATACAGGAACTGGGGCTTGGTTCCTGGAGGGAACCCCAGGGGCAGGGGCAGGTGAAGCCTGGGGCAGAGCTGGGCCACATCCCGCACTGTGCCTGGTTCAGCCCCCTTCCACCACAGCCTCTTCCTCTCTGACCCTAAAGGGGCTGCCCTGTCCTCTCCAGGAAGCTGCTCCCAACTGGGCCCCTATTCTGCTTGCACGCAGTCCGGGCCCAGAGCAGATGGCCTGTAGAGCCTCAGCTTCAAAAGCAGCCCCTTCTTACCTTGATCCAGGCACGTGTCCAGAGGTGTAGGAGCCAGGTGGTTAAATAGGACCTGGAGCAGAAACACACACACACACACAAGCACATGCACACACACACACTGCATTAGTTCAGCTTTGCTGGGCAGGGAACCTGTTGCACCTGTCAGCTGTGTGCCTTGTAGGGAATGGCTCTTTCAACAGGAGGTTGCACAGGGAAATTGTACACGTGTGTCACAACTCCTCAGGGGCCAATGTCATCTCACATGACCCCTGGACCATATATGGGGTCAGAGGAGGGGTGTGTGGGGATGCCCCAGCGATGTAAGAGGCAGCTATAGAATCGGGGGGCGGGGGTTGGAAAGTCAGATCACCTGGATTCAAATGCTGACTCTGCCATTGAATGATGAAGCTGCAAAAGGGTATTTGTTCTTAGGGAAAATCATTTTAAAAGCACAATTCCCTAAAACTCAACAAATCTATCCCTAGGTATATACCCTGTAGAGAAACTTTTGCATGTGTGTACCCAGAAACATGTACGAGAATGCTCCCAGCAAAAATTACAATAATATGTAAGTATTGTAAAGGGTGGAAGTCATCCTTATGACTAATGACAGAAAAATAGGCAAACTGGGGCACAGTCATGCAAGGAAATGCTACATACGCCACTGTGCGAGTTCCTGAGCTCTAGCTACGTGCATCAGTGTTGATGAAGGTCACAGACATAACGGAGATCTGACAACCGAGGGTCAGAAGAATACATGCTGTTTGATTCAATTGATTGAAAGTTCATAATGGGCAAAATTAAAGTAAACAGGCTTTAGGAGTGTGCACATGTGATGATACAAAGAAGCAAAGCTCAGGAATGATAAACACATTCAGGGGAGGGACCTGCGGGGAGGGATGGACTTGGGGGGACAATGGTCACTTCTCCTGAAGGTCAGAGGGGCTGCGATGGGTGTTCATTTCATTATTCTTTTAATCTGATGGATGTGTTATGCATATTCTTTGTTTGCCTTCCATATTTATTGAGCACAATTTTGAAGTAGCATTTTGCCAAATGGTATGTACAGTCTGGCTCCACTGAAAATATAAACACATAATATAAATAACATCGAGAATAGGCAATTTTTAAAAATTATTATGTTATGTTCATCACCGTACATTACATCATTAGGTTTTGGTGCAGTGCTCCACGATTCATTATTTGTGTATAACACCCAGTGCTCCATGCAGACTGTGAAGGCAATTTTTTTTAATTATTATGTTATGTTCATCACCGTACATTATATCATTAGTTTTTGATGTAGGATAACATCGAGAATAGGGTGTGGGGGCAGGAACTCTGAAGTGCTAACTCTGGGTATCGCTGGCTATTGGGATAATGAGTATTTATCATTTTCCCCATAATTAGTATATTATGTAATTTTTTAAAAGTAAAAACATTGAGGCACCTGGGTGGTTCAGTCTGTTGAGCATCTGCCTTCGGCTCGGGTCATGATCCCAGGGTCCTGGGATCGAGTCCGGCATTGGACACCCTGCTCAGCGGGGAGTCTGCTTCTCACTCTCCCTCTGCCCCTTGCCCCTGCTCATGCTCTCTCTCTCTCAAATAAATAAATAAATAAATAAATAAATAATCTTTTAAAAAAATAAAGTTAAAAACATTCCAGGCTCTATAACTTATTAGCATGTAACTTTGGGGAAATTACTCAGTCTAAGTCTGAGTGTACCCCAGCCATCATTCACTCATTCAACAAACATCTCATTGTTCTGTGCCAAGCCCTGAACTAAGTTGGGACACAGATAAAATACCTTGTTTGTCTAAGAAATGGGATTAGCAATCCCCACGACCCATCAGGTCACTGTTGGACTAAAGTGATGACCAGTTGAATGTGCCCCTGGAGGTAGAGAGCAAGAGAGCGGGTTCCAGGCATGACTCCCAACTGCCCCAAAGATAGGTGGCCAGTGTCACAAACAATCATCTAAAAATGCCTCTTTGGAATGCAATAGCCTCCGTGGAAGTGTGCTACGTGCTCTGTAGACAAGTCAGAATTGCATCTCAGGCTCCACAGGAACCTGAGGGTTTGCTGGGGAGGTGTGAATAGGTTTAGGATTCCTCATCCCTGGAGAGTAAGCTTCTTAGAATGCTGACAGCAGTGCCGTGAAGGGGGCACTGATGTCCAGGAGCTTCTGGGTAGGGATGGGGGCAGCAGATGTTGCTAAATCCCTCAGACCCTTTCCCACCACACCCTCTTCTCGAGCTGACCTTTTTGATTTTTTTTTCTCTTCAAGGCTGCACTTGCAAAATGAGAACTGGTTAAGAATTATTGGGGACTACCCATGCCCGGTCCTGTGCTAAGGGTAGTATGTACGGAATTGCATGGTTGTATATACATCACATATTGTTACAGCCCTATCAGAAAGGCACTTTCACTATACCCATTTTACAGATGCAGAAACTGAGGCATAGGGGAGTTAAGTAATCCGCTTCAAAGCACACAGCTGTTCGATGTAAACACCGGCGATCCGGCTGCTAAACGTTCTACTAAACTGCCACACCAACATGAGGTGGTGCCACGTTTGGTGGCAGGGGCAAGGAGCCGATTTGTCAGAGCCCTGAATTAGTTAGAGATGGCCCCGAAGCTGGCTGGAAACAAGCAGCAGCCTCCAGAGAGCCTCATGTGCTCTCTGCTCTCCTCCCCCAACCCCACCTTCATCTGGGAACAGCCATCACTCACCAGGGGTGGCAGTGGTGGGGGGTCTTTGCTCTGGGTGCTGACCTTCACAGGACTCCATTGGCCCTTACTCTTCTCCTTCACCTGCTTTTTGCTGCTCACCACTCCCATCCTGGCAAAGAGCACACAGCAGATTGGTGATGTGACTAGGTCTTCAGAGCCTCAGTACAGAAGAGCTCCCCCAGCCCCGTCCGGATGGCCAATTAGAAAGAAAGGGAGGAAGGAGGGAAGTGGGGGGGGGCAATGAAGGTCAAAATAAGAACATGGAGTCAGTAGGGGGTCTGGCAGGCTAGGCTTGCATCGTCTTTTTTTCTCCAGAGCAGGAAGAAGGGGTCCAGAGAGGAGGAATGACGAGGTTTAGGTCACAGAGATCATCCGGTCTGAGTAAACTTCCAGAAACTGATGGGGTGGACCCCTCTGCCCTGGGGACAGGAGCCCGGGCATCCAGAAAGAGTCTGACAACCTGTCTGGTGGTCTGGGTTCTAGTCTTCACTTTGCCACGGGAGGCATTACATGGGAAGTTCACGTTCCTCTCTGAGCCCGTGTGAGAACATGTGTGATTTTCTAAGAACACTCAGATTTTCAGGTGAGAGGCTATAAATTCAGGGCACAGTGATGGTTCAGGCATCTGAGGCCAACTGTCTCTTCTCAGTAATCTCAGGGAAACTTCCTTAGAGGTGAGAGAAATATAGCCAAGATTTTTCTTGGGTAAAGGATCCTAGAATGACAGAAGTGGGGAAACTGCTAGAGACCACAGCCAACATCACCATGACATCAGCACTACCTCCATTCCAGGGGTGGTTATTTAGCAAGGGCTTACTCTTGACCAGGAACTTCACAAACCCTGTCTCCCATCATCCTTTTCACTCTAAAGTAAATGTAAGTAGGTGTTATCACTGTCCCAGACTGAGGTTTGACAAGTTCAATAGCTGGTTCACGGTCACTTAACCTTTGAAGAGCCAACTCTGGAGCTCTGGCTGACCCCACACCACCATACTCCACCTCCCACCTGGCCTATCCCCAAGATGCAGACATTTAGTTCCTGCTCTTGTCTGAAGGGCTGTGTGGTTGATGGAGAGTTCCTGACGGCTTTCGGATATGTTCACAGCATCTCTTTGATTCCAAGATGTACCTTTTTTCACATTTCAATATCTCTGAAACCATGATGTATTTTATAATTGATGATGGTTCATAAAGTAATTAGCAGCATCTTTTTCCCCTATGTTAGTGATGCATAAAATAAAGGCTAGCCTTCCAAACAGCGGTGTCTTAGATTTAATGAAACGCAGTGGTACTTTTCTTCCAGAAAGTTGAAAGCGCATGTTTCATATCACTTCCCTTCAAACTCACCTTGAAGAAAAGGAAAACTATAATAATTTTAAATATAAGACAGAGAGCCACAATAACAAATAATCCATAAGTACTTTGTTGGAGTACGCCTTGTGTACAGAGCATTCAATACCTCACATTTGTAAAAGAACAGGACTTTTTTTGTTTTTAAGTAGTTTCTTTATGTCAGTTCAGATAAACCTTAGCAGCAAATGAAATCATCTCAGTTTTCAGAGATTTTTTAGTATCAGAATTTTGCATAAGGGATCATGGGTTTCTATTAAGAATTGATACTGAGCCCCGTGTCACGTCAGGCTCTCTGCTCAGCAGATGGTCTGCTTCTCCCTTTCACTTTCCCTCTGTACTCTCCCCACCCCTCAGATAAATAAATAAAATCTTTAGAGGGGAAAAAAAAGACTTGATACTGAATTTTATCAGGTACCTATTGAGTATCTCTTCATCTGATAATTTAATTTGTTGCTGTGATGAATTATGTTGATAAATTTTCTGCTACTGAAACTTCCTTCCATTCTGAAATAAAAGCTATTTGGTTACAATTCATCAGTCTTTTTGATACATAGATGGATCCTATTTGCCAATATTTCAAATGAGAATCAATATTCCTGAATGGGTTCTGGGTATGAGGAGTTAACACTAAGATGATGCTGGCTCCATAACATACAGGAGATCTGTCCACCTTTTTTCCTATGGCCTTGAATTGTTTTTTTATTTTTTATTTTTTTGGCCTTGAATTGTTTAATAACCCTGGGACTCTCTGTTCTTTAAAGGCCAACTAGAACTTACTAGTCATCTGTTCTTGGGGTCTTTTTAAAAAGTAGATATTCAAGTAAATTTCCAATTTCTTTTATAGGAATTTGTCAGTTCCCATTTTTTCTCCTCCTCGCACCATTTTGATGATTTATATGATTTATTAGTAGAAATTTGATTTCCTCCACGTTTTCCAGTTTGTTGCCATAAAGTTTTATGTAGTATTGTCTTGTAATTATTTTAACCACTTCTCTTTCTTATGTCCTCTTTCTAGCTCCTAATGTAAATTAAATGAACTTTCAATAATAATTACAATTTTTAATATTATAAAATTTATCTGAAGTTTTCTCTGACCAAATAAAGTTTTATCTAGCTTTAAAATGATGAAAAAGAAGACTGTAATCAAAACAGCATAAAATTGGAGTAAGAATAGACATATCATCAGTGGAGCAGAATAATGAGTATGCAAACAGATTCCAGTGCATTTGGAACTGCATATATGAAAAAGGTAGCATTTTACTTCAATGGGGAACTGATGGTTTATTTTAATAAATGGTATTAGGAAAATGGCTGTCTACTTAGAAGAAAAGACAATCGGACTCCTACCTCACACCATATTAAAAATAAATTCCACGTGTACTGAAAAAAATATTAAAAATTTTACAAATTTTAATTGAAAGAAAATTTAGGAGACTATATATATGACCCAGAGTTTGGAGATAACAATTAACAATGATAGAATAGCCAGAAGCTGAAAGGATAAAAAGACATGTTGATAGCAAAAAGACAAATTTATAAACGTGAAAGGTATTATATGGTAAAAGAAACCATTATGAAGTCAGTACCTGAGCAATAGATTGGGAAAAAGGCATACTGCAGATAAATGTGTTTATAATATACACAGAGCTCATGAAAATTAACAAGAATATGGGTCTAACATACAACCCACTCAATAGAAAAATGAGTAAAGATTGTAAATGTCAGTTTATCCAACACAAATCCCACTAGCTAAATAAACATGTGAAAAATGTTGAAATTACTTACTGATGGGGAAATGCAAACTAAGATAATAAAATAATCACACTACATCAATAGGATTGGGAAAAAAATGAACGATAATACCAATTGTTGATGGTAAAGCAAGGGAGAATTATGTTTTCATACATTTTTGGTACAAAAGTATTTATTATAATTACTGTTCTTTCATCTCTTCTTCCCCATTGTATTTCCAAGATCAACCCTCAGTGAGGTCTGGGATCTTTGTCTTACTCATTGCTGAATCCAAATTGCCTGGCAAGGAGTAAGGACTTAATAAATATTTATCAGACAAATAAAATATGAAATATTACTGTGTAGAAATTCAGTTTTATTAAAATTTAAAAATACATATATCTTTAAATTTACAATCCCACTTCTGGGAATCTCAGAGACTAATCAAACATCATTATATAGGAATATATGAGATATGAAAACGTTTATTACAGCAATCTTTGTAGCTACAAAAGCAAAACAAAAAAACCCTGTAACGGCTCACCCATTTGGGGAATTATTGAATAAATATGCATTCTAAAATCTCTAATATATTACACAAGTTTTAAAAAGAATGTACTAGATCTTTACAAGTGAAGCTAAGAGGAATTTCTAGAACATGCTGTTACATGAGAAAAGCAAGATGCACAGAGGTGCATGAAGTTAATCCCATATTTGGAAATACCAAAGAATAAGAAAAGAAACCTCTATGTAGACACATGCATACATTTTTATGTTACATGAAGAGAGTTTTGGGAGGATGAACACAAAGTTATTTACTCTCACTATTGGTGGTGAAAGTAGAGACAGACAAGGGAGGTGGAAAACAAAAGAAAACAAAAGCAAATTATAAAAATCGCGTGCGCGCGTGTGTGTGTGCGCATATTGTAGGTGTTACTGGGAAGCAGTGCCTCAAAAAGATACTTCCTAAAATGTTAATGCTGTTTACCTCAGGTGATAGGACTTCATGTAACTTTTACCTTCTTTCGTATAATTTTACATGTTCCTTGAATTCTTTAATAGGAAGCATGTATTATAGGTACAAGCAGAAAAAGAGAATACTAGTGACTTATCCAGCAACAGAGAGGGACAGGCCTGGAGCCAGGACCAGCCCCAGTTCTTAAGAACAGCCACTGAGCAACCACCAGGGCTGCCTGAGCCTCACCCTTTCCTGACCTCTGGCTCAATGAAGGGTCAGCAAACAGTAGCTTCTAGAATTTTCCCAACTTGGAGTCCTGCTTCTGCCACTGCCCAAATGATCAGCCATATCTGGTCAGCCATATTGCCACCAATTTTAAACTTCCTGAGCAAATGTTTATGTCCGCTTAACATAACCGAACATTTAAATATTGACAAAAAGTAAAATTCCTGAAATCAAATCACCCACTACTTACACTTCTTTGTCCTTCGACTCCTTAGCAGTGTATATACAGATGACTTTTCATGGTTTCTATACATATTAGGTTCTCTATGGGTCCCTCCACCCCAATAGCTCTGACTGGAGACTAGAGTTACTCAGGGGGCCATGTGACGACCAGAGCTGTGTCTGGGTGCTGGGGCTGCCACCCTGCTGTGATATTTTAAGTTTCAGGCTGGGCGGAGCCAGGAAATGAAGAAGTCCATGCAAAACCAAAGTGTAACACGTGCAGGTCCTGGGTGGCTCCAGGGGCTTTGCTGCACCAAGAAGACATTGGCCTCCATTCCAGTGGTGAAGGAGGGAAGGATGGATGGAAGAAAGGTGTAAGTCTGTGTGTGTGTGTGAGAGAGAGAGAGAGAGAGAGACGGAGTAGGGAAGGAAGGAGAGAGGGTGTACACGTGTGAACCTGTGCATGTATCCATGTTGCGTGTGTGTGCGCGTGCGTGTACGTATGCGTGCATGCGTGTGTGCGTGCGCGCGTGCGCGCGTGTGTGTGTAGTGGGGGGCAGCTAGCAAGAGGACGAGAAGGTGAGGCAAGGGACTTCTGTTTGTTTATTTGGAATGGATTCTACGCCCCTGTGCAGACTTTGACCAGAGCAGGGAGGTCAGTGTTTGCCCCAGGGGAGATGCTCAAAGCCTGACACACAGCTGCAGCCTGACAGGGGATGTGGTGGAGGCAGCAACTAAAAATAGAGAAACTAGAAACCCTTTATTTACAGTTGCCCAGCAGTTTACAGGTAGAAAAGCACTTGGCATATATGATTTATTTGATATTCATGAAAGCATCGATAGGTTGGTTACAATTATTCTCATTTTATGGCTGAAGATAAGAGCGGCAAGGTGGCTCGCTAAGGTTACACTGAGGTGGCAGAGCCAGGAGCTCGAGTACTGCCTGGAACTCGCTGCTCAAAGCAGGTGCACAGGTGGCCCTGCCTGGGGCTCCATCCCCCTGACCCACAGTTCAGGTTCAGGTTCAGATACCCTGTTCTCTCCTCCATGAGGGCTGCCACCTGCCTCGGAAGCCATCCATCGAGAGGAGAAACCTCCAGGTTTGCTGCTGGAACAGGGAGGTCTGGGGGCTGTGTGCCCTTCTGGAGTTCGGGCACACTCAGGCAGACTTCTCCCTACTCCTGGTGCAGTGCAGGGAGTCAGGGGTTCAAGGAACCTGGACTCAAAAGCAAGCTACGTACTAGCCGTGTGAACTTGGGCAAATCCCTTAATCTCTCTGAGTCTCAGTCTCCTTACCTATAAAATGGGGAGGTTTGAAACTTTTCTTTGTTTCATACATAAAGCCTTCCTGAAAAAGCATACTCAATGGTGAATGCTGAAAAAAGTTAAACAATGGATTTTGCTGTTTTGTGGGGAGAGAGCAGTTTTCTACAGAATTAAGCCACGTTATGAAATTCTCAACTACGTCTTGTCTATTTGGCAAATCTTCACCATCTATTTTCAGCCTCTCACAGGTGTTTTTAAATTATGCACTCATCCATCATTATGGGCATAATTTCAGTGACTATTCAACTATTTGTCTTAAATTAGAGGGAAAATGCACCAAAATATTAAACCAATTGTGCAAACACAAATACCCAGGCAAAAATGGTTGTCCTGCCAAGACTGAGCTGCTGGCAGGCGGTCGCAGGCGCCCGTGATGCTGAGAAACTTCATTCACCAGCTGACGTGCTCAAGTTCAAATGCAACATATGGAAAATGTTTTGGGATATTGACACACAAATATGTAGGTTTTCTAAAGGTCAAGACCAACAGCTTGTATATAATTCTCATGGTTGTCAGGCAAACCAACAAGATGAGGGCAGGAAAAGAACAGAAGATAGAGAATGCTAAATAAATATTAACTAGAAGACGCCCAGAGCAACTTGGGTGATGCTTTCCCTCTTCCGGGTTTTATGATGCCCAAAGGTGGCCCTGGGATCCACTGGGATTCCCACCTATTTTTTTAGGAGGGGTTTCTGAGGGCCTGGTGTTGGAAGCCAGGATGTTTGGTGGTGGTGGTGGGCAGGGGCACAAAGGCCAATGTAGATGGGGCTGCTGTGTGGCCCAGAAAACTGTTGATGGCTCTGGGTCCCTCCACCTATTACACTCGCTGCTCCAGAAGACGAGGCATGTTATTTTAGAGGCAGGGGGATGATTTGGCTGAAAAAAAAGTTTCGTGCATGAAGTTATGGAATGCATATAGTTTCATGACAGAAAACTCAGCTTGACTCTGGTTTACTTTTTTAAATAGCAGGTACTATAACGTCTTAAGTACACTGTCATGTTTGAGAGAGACCACGCCGCACAGGAGACAAGAATACTGAGCTCTGAATCCTGGTTTAGCGATTTTCTACTTGTGTATCCTTGGGCAAGTTGCTTAACATTTCTGTCTCTTAATTTGGGGATAATAACTGTTTACAATAGAGTGTTGCAAGGATTAAATTAGTTATTACAGGCTATTGGGCCATCTTGGAACAGTGCCTGGCCTGAAGTCATTGTTTAATAAATAATTTACTATTTTTCCGTGTATACAGATTATCAGTAGTAATCTCTTCAGTAACGGTGTGAGATGGGCATTACTACTTTCTTTCTACAGAGAGATGAACTTGGGACATAAAGTGTCTCTCCAGGTCAAGTAGCTAGTAAACTGTGGGGCCCGCCTTAATCCAGTTCCGACTGGCTTCTAGGTCTGCAATCTGGAAACCTTGCCTTGTTATTTGCTAAAAACTTTACCTTTCTGACTTGACCTGTCAGGCATGGGTCGGCAGCATTGAGGTGGAAGAGGTGAGCCTATCTGCAAAGCCAGGGCTCAGCCCAGGCGTTCGCTGCCATGATGAGATATTGCCTTCCCTTCAGTGAGTTCTCTCTTCCCTCATGGAGTGTTTGCCAACATCCAGGCATTCCAAGTCCTGCCCCCATGAAGTCATTAGTGCCTCACCCATTTCCTAGATGAGAAAAGTATAGTAATGGCCCTGTCACTCTGAATCAGAGAAGAAGCCAAAGAATTTGAATTGAAACCCATTTTTTGAGTCTCAGCTTCAAGATAACTGAACTTGAATGAGGCTACTTCACATTTCCCTCCACATGGGAACATGAAATAGTAGTAGTGTTGGCTCTTAGAGCTCTATATTCTTGTGTTCATTCAGTCACTGTCAACAATGTACTGTGTCAGGCAGACAGAGAGAGGAAACAAAGCAGGAGTCTGCCCCGTGGTACGATAAAGAGGTGAGACATATACCCAAGTGACAACAATTCAAGGTGGGCAGAATTACATACTGAAAAGAGGTTTTGTGAGCTCAGCAAGAAGAAATCACTTCCACCTGGAAGAAAACACTAACTCGACCTTAAAGGACAATTCAGATGTAATATTTTAAGATTAAAACAATTTCAATGAAACATTTAAAAGTATAAAAAGGAGTATAATGAACACCCACATACCCATCACCCACATTCAATAATTGTACATTACTTTCTTGATATTAAGACAAATCACTTTATAAATAAAGGATTGAAACTTTCTGAAATGAAATGAAACAAATGGCTTGAAACATGCTATGTCACTTCCACATACTTTGCATGCATCACTAAAATGTGGAGACATTTCTCACATAACTGCAACGTCGTTATCACACCAAACAAAGCTAACAATAATTCCATGGTATTGTCTAACATCCAATCTGTATTCAGATTTCCCCAACTGTCTCAAAAATGGCTTCTTGCTGTTGGTTTGTCCTATTCAGAATTCAAACAAGCTTCATACATCACATATGATTATTCTATCTCTCCCTCTACTGGAGTAGCCCACAACCCCACTTTGGTTAGTTTCATGCCATCAGTTTGTAAAAACCAGGTTGGTGGTCCTATAGAATGTTCTGCATTTTGGATTTTGCTTCCTTATGATGATTTGTTTCTCTATCTCCCTATTCCTTTTACATAGAGTTAACTCAATGGGTTCCATTAGATCCAGGTTCATCTTTTTCTCGTAGGGATGCCTTATGGAAGGACCATGTGCTCCACATCATATACTATAAGGAGGCTTACACTGTCTGGCGATACCACTTTAGTGATGCTAACATAGATATGGGTTCAAGTGATGCTGGTCTGGTCTCTCCATTGACAAGCTCCTCATCAACACTTCAACTGATGTTTTCATTAGGGGTTACTAAATATTACTAAATACTGATGCTCTAATTCCAACATTCCTTCCACATTTGTTAGTGGGGAGTTGAGAAAGTAAAGGATCAGAAAGAAAAAAAATACCACGCATAATTCTACCAGGGTTGGGTAGTATTTGAATATAGAGAAATAGTGCTTTTCTGGAGACATGGAGATAGGAAACTTGCTCAGGAAACAGGAGTTTTTTCCATTGGCTGGACTGTAGAGCGTATGTCAGAATTATTCAAGAAACCTCAGTTACCACCTTGGGTGATACTTTTAAATACTAGTAGTATATTTGTCCAGTACTGATATAGGAATAGATATAGAGTTATAACTCCTGGCTGAACATGTGGAGCTCCTGGGGCACGTACAAACCCCTCTCCGGGGGCAAACTAGCAGTGATGACTTGCGACATGGTTGTGCTTCTTGGTCAAAGTGGCTGACAATTTAGGCACAGTGAGGAGGAGAAACACATGTGGCTATTTCAACTTTGTACAGTGAAAATATTTCCACAGCGGAAATTAACTCCCCACCATGGTGAAGTTAATAGAAAAGATTTTTGAGTGGTAAAATGTTTGAGGGGGCTGAGCAAGCTTCAGGAAGGAAGACAGCATTCTTGTGAATCTGTGTTAAGTAAAATATAGACACATGTTGATTGAGTCACCCACATTTGATTCTGCTGACATACAGAAGCTTGAAATTTGGTAGGCGTTTAGGAGGAAAAGTGGCACCGTGTTGATATCTAAGTTCTTGTTATAATTACTAGCTTGTGAATAAAATTCCTTTGTTTGGAGACAACATGCAAATTTATATTTTCAAAAAACCCACAGTAGTGATAATTAAAACATGCTACTTATATGCCAAAACATAAATACAACTACTGTTGTACTTTGTATTGATGGGACTATGGATCTTAATCTGCTTTTTAATTTCTAAAATTTTTTAGCATTGTTTTCATTTTTTTAAAGGTTTTTATTTATTTGACAGAGAGAGCAAGAGTGAGCACAAGCAGGGGGAATGGCAGGCAGAGAGAGAGGGAGAAGCAGGCTCCCTGCTAAGGAAGGAGCCTGATGCTGGACTTGATCCCAGTACCCTGGGATCATGACCTGAGCCGAAGGCAGACACTTAACTGACTGAGCCACCCAGGCACCCAGCGTTGTTTTCTTTTAAAAAA